TCCAAGATTAATCTCAAAGAAAATCTAAACAGACCAATTACAAGAAATGAAACTGATTCAGCATTTAAATACTCCCCCAAAACAAGAGTCCAGAACCAGAAGGCCTCACAGGTGAATTCTACCATACATTTAAAGAAAAGTTAATACCTATCCTTCTCAAATTATTCCAAAAAAATAGAAGAGGAAGAAATGCTTCCAAACTCATTTAATGAGGTTAGCATTACCTTGATACTGAAACCAAAGACACCACTAAAACAAACAAAAATTACATACCAATATCCCTGATAAAGATAGATGCAAAAATCCTTAACAAAGTATTAGCAAACCAAACTCAACAATACGGTAAAAGAATCATACACCACAACCAAGTGGGATTTATTCTTGAAATGCAAGGACTATTTAACATGCACATATCAGGGGAGCCTGCATGACTCAGTCAGTTAAGCATCTGCCTTCAGCTTGGGTCATGATCCTGGGGTCCTGGGATTGAGCCCATGTCAGGTTTCCTGATTGTGGGGAGCCTGCTTCTCCCTCTCCTCTGCACCCGTTCTAATAAATAAAAAAAATCTTTTAAAAAATCCACATATCAGTCAGTACACAAGGATAAAATCATATGATTGATCCAAAAGATGCAGAAAAATCATTTGACAAAATTCAACATCCGTTTATGATAAAAACTCTCAACAAAGTGGGTATAGAAGGAATATACAATGTATGGCACCAAAGTCATAAAGACCATGTATTACAAATCCACAGCTAACATCATATTCAATGGTGAAAAGCTGAAAGCGTTTCCTCTAAAATCAGGAACAAGACAAGGATGTCCACTCTTGATGCTTTTATTCAACATTGTACTGGAACTCCTATCCATGGCAATCAGCAAGAAAATGAAATAAAAGGCATTCAAATTGGAAGGGAAGAAATAAAACTGTCACCATTTGCAGATAACATACTATAGAGAAAACCATGAAGAGTCCACCAAAAACTGTTAGAATAAGTGAATTCAGTAAAGTCCCAGGATGTAAAATTAATATACAGAAATCAGTTGTGTTTCTATACCCTATTAAATGAGCTATCAGAAAGAGAAATTAAGAAATCAATAAAAAAAATCCATTTATAACTGCATAAAAAAATAAATAAAATACCTAGGAATAAATTTAACCAAGGAAGTAAAAGACTGAAAACTGCACAACATTGATGAGAAAAACTGAAGACAACTCAAATAAATAGAAAAACATTCCATGCTCATGGACTGGAAGAATTAATATTGTTAAAATGTCCATACTACCAAAAGCAATCTACAGATCCAATGTGATCTTTATCAAAATTTCAATATATTTTCACAGAATTAGAACAAATAATCCTAAAATATCAGTGGAACCACAAGAGACCCCAATAAATAGCCAGCATAGTCTTGATAAAGAACAAAGCTAGAGGTATCATGCTCCTTGATTTCAAACTGTACTATGAAACTATACAAATTTAAAACAGTACGGTACTGACACAACAACAGACACATAGATCAATGGAATAGAGAACTCAGAAATAAAACCACACATATATGGTCAATTTACGACAATGGAGAAAAAACACAATGGGGAAAATGTAGTCTCTTCAATAAGTGGTATTAGGAAAACTGGACAGCAACACACAAAAGAATGAAACAGGGCCACTTTCTTACGCCACACACAAAAGTAAATTCAAAATGGATTAAGGACCTAAACGTGAGACCTGAAACCATAAAAATCCTAGGAGAGCACAGGCAGTAATTCTCTGACATCAGCCATAACAACATTGTTCTAGATATGTCTCCTGAGGCAGGGGAAATAAAAGCAAAAATAAACTATTGGGACTACATCAAAATAAAAAGCTTCTGCACAGTGAAGGAAACAATCAACAAAACTAAAAGAGAACTACAGAATGGGAGAAGATATTTAAATAACCAACAAAACTAACAGGCAAACTACTGAATGAGAGAGGATATTTGCAAATGACATATCTGATAAGGGATTAGTATCCAAAATATATGAAGAACTCATACAACTCAACACCCCAAAAAAACAAATAATCCAATTAAAAATGGGAAGACATGAACAGACATTTCTCCAAAGAACACATCGAGATGGCCAACAAACACATTAAAGATACTCGACATTACTCATCATCAGGGAAACAAATCAAAACTACAATGAGATATCACCTCACACCTATCAGAATGGCTAAAATCAAAAATAAAACAAACAAGTGCTAGCAAGGATGTGGAGAAAAAAGAACCCTCTTTCACTGCTGGTGGGAATGCAAACTGGTACAGCCACTGTGGAAAACAGTATGGAGGTTCCTCAAAAAGTTAAAAATAGAATTATCCTACAATCCAGTATTTGAACTACTGGGTATTTACCCTCCAAAATACAAAAACACTAATATGATGGGATATATGCACCCCTATGTTTATAGCAGCGTTATTTACAATAGCCAAATTGTGGAAGCATACACACACACGTGGGTGTGCATGCACACATAGGAATATTATTCAGCCATAAAAAAGAATGAAATCTTGCCATTTACAATGACATGGATGGAGCTAGAGAGTATAATGCTAAGCACAACAAGTCAGTCACAGAAAGACAAATACTATATGATTTCTCTCATATGTGGAATTTAAGAAACAAATCGGCAAAGGAAAAAAGAGAGAGAGAGAAACAAAACCAAGAAACAGACTCTTAACTACCGAGAACAAACTGGTGGTTACCAGAGAGGAGGTGGATGGGGGGATAGGTGAAATAACAGATGGGGATTAAGAAGGATATTTGTGCTAAGTACTGAAGTACTGGGTGACGTATGGAAGTGTTGAATCAATATATTGTACACCTGAAATTAATATAACATTGTATGTTAACTATACTGGAATTAAAATAAAAAACTTAATTTAAAAAATAAAATTTTAAAAGAAAACCACAATGAGATATTACCTCACACCTGTCAGATTGGCTATCATCAAAAAGCCAAAAACTAGTGTTGGTAAGGATGTGGACAAAAGGGAACCCTCATGTACTGCTGGTGGGAATATAAATTGGTGCAGCCACTGTGGAAAGTATGGGGGTTCTTCAAAAAATTCAAAATAGAACTACCACATAATCCAGCTATTCCACTTCTGGGTATATATCTGAAAAAATATAAAAATACCAATTCAAGGGGATATATGCACCCCTATGTTCACTGCAGCATTATTTACAATAGCCAAGACACGGAAGCAACTGAAGTGTCCATCAATAGAGGAATGGATAAAAAAGATGTGGTATACATACATATACAATGGAATATTACTTTGCGACAAAAAAGGAATAAAATCTTGCCATTTGTAACAGTATGGATAGACCTAAGGGTATTATGCTAAGTGAAATAAATCAGAAGACAAATACAATATGATTTTACTTATGTGTGGAATCTAAAAAAGAAAACAAAACAAACAGATTCATACATATAGGAAACAAACTTTTGGAGTGGTTGGGGGCAAGCAAAATAGATGAAGGGGATTAAGAGTACAAACTTCCACTTATAAAATAAGTAAGTCACAGAGATAAAATCTACAGTGTAGGAAATATAGTCAATAATATAATAACTTTGTATGGTGACAGATGGCTACTAGATTCTCGTGGGAATCATTCTGTGATGTATAAAAATATCAAATCACTATGATGTACACCTGAAACTAAAAACTGTATGTTAATCATGCTTCATTAAAAAAATAAGAATCAAAGGTATTTCTATATACTGGTAACTAAAAGTCAGAACTTTATTTTTAAAATAGTAACAAACAATACCAAACAGTTAAGGAAAAATCTAACAAAGGATATGTAAGACCTATAAACTGAAAACTACATAACTTGGCTTAGAGAAATTAAAGAAGACCTAAATAAATGGAGAGATATACCTTGCTCTCAGGTCTGAAGATTCTACATTGTTGTCAATTCTTCTTAAATTTTAGACAATCCTAATCAAAATCCTAGCAGATTTTTTAGTTCAAATTGACAAACTGACTCTAAAATTCATATAGAAATACAAAGGATCTTTATAGCCAAAACAAGTTAGGGAAAACAACAAAATGAGAGGATTATTGCTACCTGATTTCTACAATAAAGCAACAATAATCAAGACTGTAGTGTTGGCACCAATATAACACACATAAAGGTACAAAAGCCATCAGTGGAGAAACAACAGCTTTTTCAAAATGTAGTGTGTGAATGACTATATCTCCATGTGCAAAATAATAAAATTTGATCTATACCTTTGATCCATATTTCACACCATGTACAAAAATTTCAAAATGGGGGCACCTGGGTGGCTCAGTCGGTTAAGTGGCCAACTACTGATTTCGGCTCAGGTCATGATCTCACAGTCGTGAGATCAAGCTGAGCATGGAGCCTGCTTGGGATTTTCTCTCCCTCTGCACCTCCCCACCCAACTCAGGCACACTCTTTCTCTTAAATAAAAAAATTAAAACAATCAAAATGGATCAGAGATCTGAAAACAAGACTTTTTTTTTTTTTTTTAAAGATTTTATTTATTTATTTGACAGAGAGAGACATAGCGAGAGCAAGAACACAAGCAGGGGGAGTGGGAGAGGGAGAAGCAGGCTTCCCGCCGAGCAGGGAGCCCGATGCGGGGCTCGATCCCAGAACCCCGGGATCATGACCTGAGCCGAAGGCAGACGCTTAACAACTGAGCCACCCAGGCGCCCAAAACAAGACTATTTTCTCCTAATAATCTTTTATCTAAAATTAATGACCAGTGTGTTAGTGTTGCCAGTTAAATATTCTTTTGTGTTTTCAGATACAATTACCGAGCTAATATAACTTTCAGGTATCTTCCTAATTTCTTTTTAAGAATTCTTTCATTGCTGTATCTCAGCAAGATTCCATCAATTTCTTTAACAACAGTGTAATCTGAAATGCATCCAAAGATAATTCTAGATGTGATTATGAAAAATTGAGGGTTTTTACCTATTGCTGTTTCTGGCATCGCAAAGAGAGACTTTTCAGTAGCCACTCGGAATTGCCCATGAACTGAGAGACCAACTCCCTAGGAATATAAGGCAAAAAGTTGTTTAAAAATACTGTAAAAAAATATATAAGCAAACTCATACACACACAAACATTTTAAACCAAGTAAATTATCTTTATATTCTACAAGAATTTCTTTTAGGAGACACACTGGAGAAAAACCCTAAAACACATAATTTCAGGAGTACTGGACAAAAAATATATGCGTATCCCTGGTATCTGGAATAGATTTGTTTTAACTAAGATGTTTTCAATCAGTATTTTGTGTTATGCTTAATGTCCTCTTCCCCCATTCCCTCTCATTTCAAGTCCAGTACAGCATTATAGAATAGTGACTGTTCCCAGAACCACTGAGTATTGTCATCAGTGAAACCAATCATCAAAAGAGCACAATCAAGCCATTCTAGCTAATTTCAGTGGCTTTGAATAGCAATATTAACACATTTATTCACATATTTCATCATTTATTACACAGTTCATAACATTAGTAACATCATTTTTCTCAGATACAACATTTAACAGGGCCAACTGTACACCTCTTAAAAACTGATTACTAAACATAAGTTTTAGAAAATAAGATTTGGCTGAAAGTCTCTATCTTGTTGCATGTCACTGAAAAGGGAAAACTTAATAGCCATCTTTGAATAAACATATTTGAAAAAAAACATATTTGAATAAAATGAAATAAGAGGTATACATGTGATGACAAAGTATCCAGTTAACACCAATGCTCACACTGTAACATGCATTTCCTATGTTATGTTCTTTTCACATTATTCAGAACTTCTGTTAGACTGTTTTAGTTCTTCTCATTCTTGATCCTTTTTAACCAGTGTAGTCTATCTTTGTCAGCATAGTATTAAATGAGTTAAAAACGTATAAAGTGTTTGGGGCAGTATCAGGCACTTCAGAGTTCTGTAAGCATTAACTAAATAGAAAGGGCCTCATTTGTATCTTGTTCTTCTAATCTTTCGTTACAATTTCTTCAACTCTTTCAAGTGTTTTCATACTCAGGTCAGCCATTTAAAAGTTCTTGAAACTTTTCCCACATTGGGTATAGAGATTACATAAAAAATAAAATCTGTAAAAAAAAAAAAAAAAGTATGGGGGGTGGGGAAGCACCTGGCTGGCTCAGTCAGTGGAGCATGTGACTCTTGATCTTGGGGTTGTGGGTTCGAGTCCCATGTTGGGTGTAGAGACTACTTAAAAATATTTAAGAATAATAATTAAAAAAAAGTTCTTTAAACTTTAAAACCCTCCTAAGAAACACTAAAACACACATGCAATTTCTTATAAATTTTATATATTATATGCTAAACTTAAATTTTAGAAGACCATGTAAATAAACATGAAAATGAATAAAATTCTTCAGCCACTACATACATCTTTTGGTGTCAACACTTGTAAGTTAAAACCACAATGTTTGGGATATTCTTCATACAGGCAAATATCATGTTATAGGTATTCTACTATGACACATTCAACTGACAATACTGACCCAAATTCGACTGTATATACTTCAAGATTATGAAATCTTACAAATTTTAATGAAGAGAGCATTACTAGTTTTAGTATTAATTTATTACATTATTTTAGAGGTCCTTGATTCATATTCTAACTTTTAATTTGTCACATTGTAGCTCAAAGTTATTAATGTTCAGGAATGTCTTGCTAAGAACTTAGAGTTGGACTGGATTCCCAGTTTCCCGACTTTGTTCTTTAGAGTCCTAGGGCTCAGAACTGCCTCCCTAGGGCTGCATAGTAGGTAGATCTCCAGGCCTCACAGACTGACCCTGCTTCAAACCATACTCCTCTGGTCATTGCCTCCTACCTCTTTTAATTAACTCTGAATTCCACAAACAGCAATGATTATATCCCCCTTTACCAAATATTTATATATAAAGGTAAAATGTGACCACAACCCCAATCCTAGTCTCCTCCCTCTTTCCAGAGAAACAGTTATTAATTTGGTACGTAACACTTCAGATTTTTCCCTATGTATCTCTAACACATATTTGAACAAACGTGGATATTTATGAGACACAAACACACACTTCAAACTCATTCATAGCATGCAAGGCTCTACATAGTCTGGCCCAGCCTACCTCTACCACTACTCTTGCCATGCTTATTCCAACAACCATAGTGCCTTCATGCCATTTCTCCAAAATCCCAAGACTTTACAATTTCAACTAATCATACAATTTTAAAGTGAGGAAGACACACTGAGAGAAGGCCACAGTCTGCCCCATCACTGCCCTTTCTCTACCCAAAGACATGGCCCTTCCCTGAGCAGTGGCTGAACTAGGGATGGGCACCCAAGGGTAGCCAATCAAGGCTAACCAGAGCTGTAAGGCCCAGGGAGCAAAGGGAGAGAAAGAAAAGCGTGTTAGACAAGATTCTTACTCTCAGGTATTTAAACTAAAACACAGTGGGCTGCTGTGAGTCGATGACAGCCAAAGCTTAAAGGTCATTTGAAATTTGAGCCAAAGAAGACATGACAGCCAAGTTAAAGCAGAAATATACAGGGTGATGATGAATAAACTGAGAAGGCTGCATGCAGCCCATATACAGCACAGAGAAAAAAGCAAACCTACAAAAAACAGCAGAGATAGCTTGCAGTTCAATTTTCAGGAAGACAAGCAATGCTGCCAGTTTTTGTCTATGGATTCCCATTTGATCCCCACACTTGTTTAATAACTGCTTCATTCTCTTTTCTGGATCTGTTTGAGTCCATGTTCTTTTCAATTAAAAAAGTCTCTTGCTACATTTTCAATTAGAACCAGATCTACATCGTGTCATGCTTCAGCATCACACAATATAAGCTGCCTTGTATGCCTTTTCCTGCTAACACTGCTCATCCCAGACAAGTCACTCCATTACATCTTCTGAAATCCTCCTTATTTGACAAGAGAACCACTTAACAGCCCAACTTCTCTATAGAGGGCCTTTATCTACCTCCTGAAATCCAAAGAGAAATTTATGAGCCCCATATTCTTTGACAAAGAAACTACAGATCCTATATTCACTGATTCAGTTATCTCGTATTACATAATATATTTTGTTTCACCCATAGCTGATAAAATGAATGAAATCAAAAACTTCAAGATTTTAGGAAGAATTTATTAATAATAAGCTTTCAGAATAAGAGATGCTTGACACAAGTACCATTAAGAGCCAATTTTAAAAACCTTTTAATTAAGAGGAAGGCTGGAAAAAATGCAAGCCACTGCACTTGGAAGTACTAAGAATATAAATGCTGATCAGCACTGAAAAGGATGTAGCACCTTCATGGCAGATTCAGATATAATTTTTGTATCTTATATAAAAGAATCCATTACAGGTTGTTTACAATAAGTCCCCCTTGAAACTTTCAAAATTTAATGTTACATACTTTTTAACCATTAACCTGAGCTGGTACCCTTTGCTAGACTAAAACGGCTTCAAAGTTTTCAAGTTTTATTGTATTAATGGTTATACTATATAGATTTATTTCCCAAATGTAAGATGTCATTCTAATTCTTAATTCTCAAATACTCTCCCTGCATCCTACCGAACCCACTATTGAAATCTCATTTCCTCTAACTGGATATCTCAGGAACATTTGGCAGAGTTGCTTAGTCCCTACTTCAGGAAACACTTCTCCTGACTTTGAGACACCATACCCTCCTGGTTTTCCTTCTATCTTAGTAGTTGCTCTTTCTTTACTCCCTGACATCCAAATGTTGATCTGCCCCCACCAATGATCAGGTGTCATCCCTCTACTCCACTTCACCTACACTCTGTTCGTTCTACATTCGCCTCCTAGGTGACGTCTTCCAGGAGTCCAGGAACTTAAGCACCATAACATTAATGATTTAAATCATTTCCCCATCCTGATTTCTCTAGAATTTTATATCTACCTGCCTACTTAATGTCTCCCCTTAAATATCTAATATCTTTCTCAATGTTCATACATCAGATGTAAATCTCTTGATATCTCCTTAAATGTGCTGCTCCCTCAGTAAACAGCACCACCATTCACCCAGCTTCTCAGGACAAAAACCTCAGCATCATCTTCTTTCTGATCTCCCAATCTAATCTATGAACCGGTCTTTACAGCTCTAACCTCAAAATATACTTTGGATCGGGCCACTGTTCACATCTCCACTGTTAAAACCCTAGTTGAAGTCACAAGTATCTCCTGCCTAGGCTAGTCCCTCTTGCTTCTGTCCTTGCCACAATCCGTTCTCTACCCAGCAGCCAAGTAAGCTTATTAAGTGTCACTCGGTTAAGGTTTTGTCCTGCCCAAAATTCTCCAGTGACTTCCCATTACATTAAAATATTACCAAAATTCCTCCCCGTGGCTGATAAGGCCATGATCTGGTCTCTTTCTAGCTCCCTGATCTTGGAGTTTACCATTCTCCACTTTCCTCACTTGCACTCAGGTCCGCCACATTGGCTTTTTTTTTTTTTTATTATGTTAGTCAGCATACAGTACACATCATTTGTTTTTGATGTAGTGTTCCATGATTCATTGTTTGCGTGTAACACCCAGTGCTCAAAGCAACACGTGCCCTCTTTAATACCCATCACCGGGCTAACCCATCCCCCTCCCCCCTCCCCTCTAAAACCCTCAGATTGTTTCTCAGAGTCCATAGTCTCTCATGGTTTGTCTCCCCCTCCAATTTCCCCCCTTCATTTTTCCCTTCCTTCTCCTAATGTCCTCCATGCTATTCCTTATGTTCCACAAATAAGTGAAACCATATGATAATTGACTTTCTCTGCTTGACTTATTTCACTTAGCATAATCTCCTCCAACCCATCCATGTTGATGCAAAAGTTGGGTATTCATCCTTTCTGGTGGCTGAGTAATATTCCATTGTATATATGGACCACATCTTCTTGGCTTTTTAAAAAATTTTCTTAATTGACATATAATACACCTTCAAAAATATACAAATAGTTACAAATGGTAAGTATACAGGTCCAATGAATGACCCCAAAGTTAACAGACTCATGTAACCAAAATGTAGATAA